CATAACTTTCAGGCCAACAGGTCATGAGGTGGTGATTGGGCCAAACGGATTTAGTTCAGTCCTGGACAGAACGGAGCCTGAGTCCCCTGTCCCTCCAGGAGCTTCTGAGGCAGCCTCCTCCTCCTTCAAGGAGTTTGGGTTTAGGGCCGGGGTGTGGCTTTGCCGAATATGGACCTGAGTTCAAATATTTGCTCCACTGCTCACTAGCTTTGCTAGCGTGTGACCTGAGGCAGGTCACTTCGCTTCCTTGGGCCTCCTCAGTTCCTTCCTTTGAAAAATGAGATGATAATCACGTGTACCTTGCAGGACTGTTGAGAAGCTTAAATGAGAGAAGTGCCCGACAATAGTAGGTGCTCAATAAATGGGACTGACATTAGGTAGCATAAGCATCAGTTGGGAAGCTACTCTGCCTGTGTTGTCAACAGATTCCCCTTCATGCTGCCCCCGCCCCATGCATTTCAAAGCCAAATAGCTCAGCTTTGGGGTAGGCAGCTATTTCAGACCATAAGATTAGTCTGAGAAGACCTCCTGGAGGAGGGGGGTTCAAGGTCAAGTAAGGAAAATGGGAGAGATGGCAGGCTCAGCAGGGTGGAGCTGAGTGGCTTAGACCCCGTCCGTCCTTATTTCCAGGACTGCGCCCGGGGCACGGCCAACTGTGTGGTGTTCAGCTGCCCACTCTACAGCTTCGACCGAGCGGCTGTGCTGCGTGTCTGGGGCCGTCTCTGGAACAGCACCTTTCTGGAGGTGAGGATACCACTGGGGCTCCAGTCTGTGTTTCTTCTTCCCCCAAAGCCCCTCCAGGACTCACTTCTCCTCCTCCCTCCTCACTGTCCAAATGCAGTATCCTTTTTATCTTTTTTTTTTTTTTTTTTTTTTGAGGCAGTCTTGCTCTGTCCCCCAGGCTGGAGAATAGTGGCACGATCTCAGCTCACTGGAGTATCTGCCTCCCGAGTTCAAGAGATTCTTCTGCCTCAGCCTCCCGAGTAGCCGGGATTACAGGCATTTGCCACTACACCCAGCTAATTTTTATATTTTTCATAGAAATGGGGTTTTGCCATGTTGGCCAGGCTGGTCTCAAACTCCTGACCTCAAGTGATCCACCTCCCTTGACCTCCCGAAGTGCTGGGATTACAGGTGTGAGCCACTGTGCCCAGCCCAAATGCAGCATACTCTTAACTGAAACCAGGCGGAAACATCCTCTGTGTTGGGCACCGTTCCATTTATAATTTCAGGAGGTAACAGGAAGGAAGGGAGTCATGGGACATTTAGGAGAAGGGTCTCCTTCCCTGTTCCTTTAGGAGTACTCAGCTGTGAAGTCCCTGGAACTGATTGTCCGAGCCAACATCACAGTGAAGTCCTCCATAAAGAACCTGCTGCTCCGAGATGCCTCCACAGTGGTGAGCTGCAGGGCTGGGGGATGGGTGGGGAGCACTCTCTTCTTTCCTGCTCCCTCCAGCTCTTGCTCCATTGGCCCCTTGCTCCCCAGATCCCGGTGATGGTATACTTGGACCCCGTGGCTGTGGTGGCGCAAGGAGTGCCCTGGTGGGTTATCCTCCTGGCTGTACTTGCCGGGCTGCTGGTGCTGGCACTGCTGGTGCTGCTCCTGTGGAAGGTGAGACTTGGGGGAGGGTGGGGCTGATGGGGGCGGACTTCCTGGTCAGCCTTTTGTACTGTGGTTCTCTCACCTACCCACTCATGTATTCAGCAAATCTGCACTGAATACTTACCCTGCATGTCTCAGGAACTCTATTAGCCCCTGGATGTTTCAAAGATAAATGGATGCAGGCTTGGCTGTGGTGAGTCACGCCTGTAATGCTAGCACTTTCGGAGGCCAAGGCGTGTGGATCACTTGAGGTCAGGAGTTTGAGACCAGCCTGGCCAACATGGTAAAAACTCATCTCTACTAAAAATACAAAATTAGCCGGGCATGGTGGCATGCGCCTGTAGACCAGCTGCTGGGGAGGCTGAGGCGGGAGAACCAATTGAACCAGAAAGCGGGAGTTGCAGTAAGTTGAGATGGCGCCGTTGCTCTTCAGCCTGGGTGACAGACAGAGACTCCATCTGAAAACAAACAAACAAAAAACTCCAAAAACAAACAATCCCCCCCAAAAAAAAACCCAAAAACAGCAAAAAAAGAAGAAATCAGATGCCGATCTCGTTCTCAGGGGTTCTGTAGTCTGGTGGGGTGGGAGTGGTGAGCCTGTAGGCAAGGAGAAGGCAGAAAGCATTGAGTTGAGAAAATGCAGTGGGAGTTTAGTGGGAAAAAGGCTTGAGAGGTGGGGCACTGGAAGCAGTCCTTAGAAGGGGTGGGGTAGTAGGGTTAGGGCGTAAGGAGATGAGGTGGGTGGGGTCCAGCCGGACCATGGTAGGCAAAGTCACGGAGGCAGAGAAGTGTGGTCTGCCTTAACTAGAACGTGGCAGTGAGCACCGGAAATGTAACAGTGGCTAAGAAGGCCGACAAGCATGGAGAACGGCCTCCAGGGAACCGCCCTTAGGGTGGAACTCGGAGCTTCCACATACCAGGCTCTGCATGGAAGCATTCTTGTATGCACAGAGCTGTATACAGAATCGCATTGGCATCCAGGGCTCAACGTAAAAATACACACATGCACACATCAGTACAGGAAATCACGAACATCACCAGGGGTCATATGCTGAGCCATCTGCCACATCTGGGGCTGTGTTCAGAGCCGTGCATGTCCTTGGGGCTCTGGAGAACTGCCCCTGCCTGTACCTGCTCCTTGGGATGAATTACAGACTGAGCATACCCTTTGGCAAGTGTGAGTCATCAGTAGACCAGGGTCTGGAGTGGCATCTAAGCTGTTGGGAACCTGCCCAGTCTTAGGGGAGATTGATGCCTCTGTAAAACTGGTCCCAGAATGCTTGCTCCCTGCTCCTATGGAAGGGAGACAGAACAGAGATGGGGACTCCCATCCTTCCTCAATCTTCCCATCCTCTGCCTCCTCTGCCCTGCTTCTCCCTCGACATCCCAGTGTGGCTTCTTCCATCGGAGCAGCCAGCGTTCACCTTTTCCCACCAACTATCACCGGGCCTGTCTGGCTGTGCAGCCTTCGGCTGTGGAAGTTGGGGGTCCAGGGACTGTGGGGTAACTGTTGTGTGTGTGCATGTGTATATGTGTGTGTGGATATGTATGTGTGTGACTATAAGGAGAATTCCCAGCATTCAGGGGACCAGGAATGTTGAGGGTGAAAGATGAGATTGCATGAGAGTGACGTGAGGTGAGAGGTTACTAGAAGGATGTGGAGATAAGGGTAAGTCTACACAGCCTGAGGCATGCACAGAGGGTTGGTGGGCTCACGGAGTGTGAGCATGTGGGAGTGTGGGGAGGTCCCATGCATGCTTTTTCTATGGGCATGTGTGCGAGGAGATGAACGTGTAAGGAACTGCTATGCAGTCTGAGCATGTAGGAGTCCTGGGCCTCTGAGTGTGAGTGTGCAAGGGGCACAATCCCAGCCTGGTGTGTAGAGGCCAGCATAGTCCTGATTTAGGGTGAGGCTAGGCTACTGTATTGATGGGAGGGGTGCTGTAAGGGGCATGCTGCCCAAGGTATAAGTACACAGGGTGCATGTGTATGAGGCTTGAGAGGCATCATTCCAGAGATGCAGGGGTCTAGGAAGCCACTTTCTTCCTCAGATCTTGTTTGTGTTTTGGGGGACACTATTGGGTCTCTTAAGAAGCTAGAGTGGGAGGAAATCTTGAGTCAGGTCCTAATGCTCCACTCTCAAGCCTCTCTTTCAGGGGCCAAGGGAGATGCCCTTGGTCCTGTCTCTTGGACCCCCTCCTGGTCTCTGTCTTGCTGTGAATGAGAACCCAGGGACCCAGCACTGATGGGATCACTGTGGGCGCTGCCCACTGCATTTGATGCTGTTCAGTCTGTCTCCTCTCTGCCACAGTGGGGATGGTGAGGGCGAGGAGCTGCGCTGCGCTAGGTGTCTGCTCCAGGGACCGCAGCTCTTCAGGCTCCTCACGGTCAGGCTTGGTGTCTTTATAGATGGGATTCTTCAAACGGGCGAAGCACCCCGAGGCCACCGTGCCCCAGTACCATGCAGTGAAGATTCCTCGGGAAGACCGACAGCAGTTCAAGGAGGAGAAGACGGGCACTATCCTTAGGAACAACTGGGGCAGCCCCCGGCGGGAGGGCCCGGATGCACACCCCATCCTGGCCGCTGATGGGCACCCCGAGCTGGGCCCCGATGGGCATCCAGGGCCAGGCACCGCCTAGGTTCCTGTGTCCAGCCTGGCTTGTGGCTCCCCTCCGCCCCTTCCCCAGAGATGGTTCCTTGGAATGAAGAGGGTAGAGTGGGCTGCTGGTGTCGCAGCAAGATTTGGCAGGATCTGCTTCCTCAGGGGCACAGACCGCTCCCACCCACAAGAACTCCTCCACCCAGCTTCCCCTTAGAGTGCTGTGAGATGAGGGCAGGTAAATCAGGGATAGGGTCACGGGGTGAGGTGAGAAGGGCAGGGGTGTCCTGATGCAAAGGTTGGGAGAAGGGATCCTAATCCCTCCCTCCCCCATTCACCCTGTAGAACAGGACCCCAAGGGCCTGGCTCCCTAAGAAGTGCCTTAGCCTAGAGGGTCAGGGAGAAGGCTGTGTCACTGACTCAGGGGCTCCTCCTTTTCTAGTTTCTCCTCTCCTCTGACCTGAGTTTGCTACATCAGTCTAGTGGTTTCATCTATTTATTAAAAAATATTTGAGAACAAAACCACTGCCTCCTTAGACTCTTTCTCCCTCAGCCTCAGCGTCTCTGATTCTCCTTGGTGCCCTCAGCTCGGGATGAAGTTGGTGGTGGGGAGAGAGGGTCGGGGGGCTTGGCAGGGATGTATGCACCATGACTTTTGTGACCAGTTCCTGTAGCCTCAGGAGGAAAGCAAGGGGAGCGTTACCATGGGAACAAAGGAAAGGGACAGGGAGCTGTCCTAGAGGACAGGTAGGCAAACGTCGGGAGACCAGTCCAGAAACTTGCAGTTAAGGATCCAAGCGTTTCCTCCCTGTAGTCAGGGTAGAAGTACAGCTTTTTCACTGTCGAAGGAGGCATTGAAGCTAGAGATTGCCCTGGCAGAGGCTGGGGAGAGAGGGACTAGGAGGTGATACGGGAATGGCTTCTCTCACTCTCCTAGGTCCCTCTCAGTGGAAGATAGATAGGTTGGTGGGTGGCTTGTTCTAACTGGAGGCTGGGGAGGAAGCAAATGAGTGCCTTGGGGCTTGGGAATGGTTACTTTACAGCCTTTCCCATGATGTGGGGCCCAACAGGTAGCCACTTGAAGAGAGGGGGCTGTCGTTCCATTTGGACTTCGGAGAACCCAGCCTTTTCAAGATCCTTCCAGGTCTCTCTGGTGAGGCAGCAGCCATCCCCAATGTGTTTCCACGTGGGCTCCACAACTTGCTGCCACATGAGGGCCCAGCTTCCTTGTGGTTCCGCCACGTGCTCCCAGAAAAAGAGCACACCTCCCTGGAAGGGAGGAGAGAGTTAGTGTCGCTTGGCTACGTTCAGACTTTGAACGTATCGCGCTGATCAAATTGTCAAACTTCCTGGTGAAGTAGGAGCTGCTGGTCTGAGAGTTAATGGAGCAAACTGTTGTGCCCCTGACCTTTTCTTTCTTTCCTTTTTTTCTTTATTTGAGATGGAGTCTCACTCTGTCGCCCAGGCTGGAGTGCAGTGGCGCAATCTTGGCTCACTGCAACCTCTTCCTCCCCGGGTTAACCTATTCTCCTGCCTCAGTCTCCCAAGTAGCTGGAATTACAGGCACCCGCCACCACGCCCAGCTTTTTTTTTTTTTTTTTTGTATTTTTAGTAGAGACAGGATTTCACCATGTTGGCCAGGCTGGTCTTGAACTCCTGACCTTGTGATTCACCCACCTTGGCCTTCGAAAGTGTTGAGATTACGGGCGTGAGCCACCGCACTTGGCTGCTGCCCCTGACCTTTTCTGTATCCCCTGCTACCACCTTCAAAGTGCATGTAAAGAATCTCATAACTGAAGGGGATGGCTGCTGGGAGATCCTTAAAGGCTGATCAGAATAGCTGAGGGCACACAGGAGGGGAAATTGAGAAACAGGAGTGGAGGGCTCATTGTATTCTTTTTTTTTTTTTTTTTTTTGAGGCACAGTCTCAGTCTATTGCCCAGGCTGGAGTGCAATGGCATGATCTTGGCTCACTGCAACCTCCACCTCCCAGGTTCAAGTGCTTCTCCTGCCTCAGCCTCCCAAGAAGCTAGGATTACAGGCATGAGCCACCACGCCCAGCTAACTTTTGTATTTTTCAGTAGAGACAGGGTTTCAGCATGTTGGCCAGGCTTGTCTCTAACTCCTGGCCTCAACAGATCTGCCTGCCTCGGCCTCCCAAAGTGCTGTGATTACAGGTGTGAACCACCTTGCCCAGCTGGGCTCAACGTATTCTGAGACACACGCACCAACCTCTCTTCGGAGACCCAGCTGCATACACAAACTGCTTCCTGGACATCACTGTGAACATCCCAGGGAAACTCAGGCCCAACTCTTGACTGAAGCTGGGGTTCCTCAAGCTCCTTGCCTCACTATACTCTCCCGAGGTGATCACAAGCCTCGTAAGTCCAAGACTGTCTTCCATCTCAGCAAATGGCACTTTCATCGGCTCTCCCCTCAGTTGTTCATGCTAGAAACCCGGAAACCATTCTGAACGTTCTCTCCACAGTCTGATGGATGCTACTCTACTTCCCCTACTATCTTTCTTTTTCATTTTTTTTTTCCAGCTTATAAAGTTCTATCCCCTACTGTCTTTATCTAGAACACTCTTTCATTTCCCCTACCCCATCCACACTCAGATCTCATTTTTTTTTTTTTTTTGAGACGGTCTCACTCTGTGGCCCAGGCCGGAGTGCAGTGGCACAATCATAGCTCACTGTAACTTTGAACTTGGGCTCAAGCGATCCTCCCACCTCAGGCTTCTGAGTAGCTAGGACTACAGGCTTGCACCACCATGCCTGGCTAGTTTTGTAATTTTTTGTAGAGATGGCGACTCACTATGTTTCCTTGGCTGGCCTGGAACTCCTGGGCTCAAGCCATCCTCCTGCTTTGGCCTCTCAAGCACAGATCTCGATTTAAATATCAGCCCCTTAGGTGTGCTCCTGCTCCCCTGCCTGTCCCACGGTGGTAGGTGATTTCTCCTGTTGCTTTCACAACACCCTATTGTGCTCGTCATGGCACTGGTCATGTCTGCTATTTACCAGCGTGTAGGGTTGATGGGGTGTCTACTGTGCTACTTACTACCTCAGATGCCTCATCCTGGGGGCTGAACCCTGGGGCCGCTGAGCTGCGTTTGCCTGCCCAGCACCCATCCCCTTCCCACGCTGCTCACCGGCCTCAGTACTCTCTGGACCTCCTGCAGGACCTTCCTTGGGCTCTGCACAGAGCACAGCACCAGGGTGCAGACCACCACATCCATGGAGCCATCAGCCAGCTGCCTCATATCCTCTCCAGGAGCTACCACGAACCGCTCGTATTGGAGGTGCCTGTTCTCAGCCATGCTCTTTGTCAGGAACTTCTCAAAGTGGGGATTTGGGTCCAGGCAGGTGACCCTGCAGCCTGCTGGGTAGAACTGAAAGTTGGCACCGGTGCCACAGCCCAGCTCCAGCAGGGCCACTTTCCCAGAGGCCCCCATGAGCCCCTTGATCTGGCTGAAGAGCTCCCGTTTCTTGCTCTCCATCTTGCGGTTGCTCTTGCGGGTCAACACGGCCATCAGGTAGGGGAAGTAGGTTTTGCACAGGGGCTGCCAGCAGCCCAGCAGAGCCATGAGGTGCAGGGGCAGGGTGAGAAGCAGCACCAGCAGCTGCAGGAGTGGGACCAGGACGTCCATGGCCGACCAGCTCTGAGTGGTGCTGCCGCTGGGGCATTGGCCTTTACCCTGCTCAGCCTCAGCAGGCACTGGCGTCCCCTCCCGCTGTGATGGGACTTTGCTCCTTGTCTCCTACTTGGCAATTTCATCTTTGCCAGGATTGAGTGGGTGTATGAAATTCCTCCAGACGGTGCAATCCCCACAGCCGCACAGGCTCTTTAACGACTTTTATGTGGGTGGAGGGACAGGTGGTGCCCATGTTCCTGAGTTCTGGGGCACTGTGCCCAGTTGAAGGGGGGCGGGGTTGCTGAGTCATCTCAGAGGGGAGCGAGAAGGAGTGAGAGGATATGTTTCAGATCACAGACTCATGGCTGGGTGCGTGGGGGCTGGTGGGAGGCTGTGGGGTGGGTAGTGGCAATGCTGGGACAGAGCTGACTCATGGGACATGTCCTGGCCTCACTCCATCCTCAAGTCAGGCTCTTCAGAGGGGCCGCAGGAAGGAAATGGTGCTCTTGGCAGAGGAAAAAGTAGATGTACAGGACAGAGACAGCATGCCCTCTCCTGGAAAGGGTGAGAAGTTTAGTTCTGTGGGGAATTGGGTGAGCTGGAGAAACAGGGAGAAGTGAGGTCAGAGAGTAATCGCTCCTGAGAGACTCCCTCCCACCCTCCCTCCCTTCCTTCTTTTTTTGAGACAGGGTGCAGTGGCACAGTCTCAGCTCACTGCAACCTCAATCTTCCCAGGCTCAAGCGATCCTCCCACCTCAGTCTCCTGAGTTTCTGGGATTACAGGTGCCCACCACCATGCCCAGCTAATTTTTTGTATTTTTAGTAGAGACAGGGTTTCACTATGTTGACCAGGTTGGTCTCGAAATCCTGACCTCATGATCTGCCTGCCTTGGCCTCTCAAAGTGCTGGGATTACAGGCATGAGCCACTGCGCCCAGCCATTTTTTTCCCCCTGTATTTTGTAGAGACAGGGTTCCACCCTGTTGCCCAGGTTGGTCTTGAACTCCTGATCTCAGGCAATCCACCTGCCTCAGCCTCCCAAGGTGCTGGGATTACAGGCATCAGCCACCACGCCCGGCCTACAGTTTCTTTGAGGTATAATATGTCTAAAAAGGTTTATATATTTACAGTCTATAATTAGATGAATTTTGACACAGTATATACCTGGGAAACCATTACCACAGCCTAGATAATGAACATGTCTATGTGCTAGGCTTTTGCATTGCTGAAAAGAAATACCTAAGACTGGTTAATTTATAAAGAAAAAAAGTTTAATTGGTTCACAGTTCTTCAGGCTGCACAGAAAGCATGGCACCAGCATCTGCTCAGCCTCTGGTGAGCGTCTCAGGGAGCTCACAGTCAGAGCGGAAGATGAAGGGGAGCAGTGTATTACACGGCGAGAGGGGGAGAAGGAGAGATCTTGTGTGAACCACCAGAGCGAGAACTCACTCATCACCAAGGGGATGGCACTGAGCCACCCATGAGGAATGCGACCCCATGAGCCAAACACCTCCCACCAGGCCCCACCTCTGACACTGAGGATTACATTTCAACATGAGGTTTGGAGGGGACAAATGTCCAAACTGCATCAATCTATCAATCAAAAGAATTTTCTCGTGCCTCTTTGTAGTCCATCTTCCCCTCTTCCATCCTCATCTTCAGGTAACCACTGATCTGCTCTCTGTCAGTATAGATCAGTTTGCGTTTTCTTTTCTTTCTTTTCTTTTTTGTTTTTTGGGATAGAGTCTTACTCTGTGGCTCAGGCTGAAGTGCAGTGACATGATCTTGGCTCACTGAAATCTCTGGCTCCCAGGTTGAAGCAATTCTCCTGCCTCAGCCTCCCTGGTAGCTGAGATTATAGGCACGCACCACCATGCCTAGCTAATTTTTGTACTTTTAGTAGAGATGAAGTTTCACCATGTTGGCCAGGCTGGTCTCAAACTCCTGACCTCGGGTGATCCGCCAGCCTCGGCCTCCCAAATAGTTTGCATTTTCTAGAATGTTGTGTAAATGGATTCCTATAGTATATAGGATTTCAGGATCTGGCTTGTTTCATTCAGCATGTTTATCTGGAAGTCATCCATGTCGTACATGCATCAGTAGTTCATTTCTATTGCTGAGTAGTATTCCATTGTATGCACATAACACATGTGATTTTTTTTTTTTTTTTTTTGAGACAGAGTTTCGCTCTTGTTACCCAGGCTGGAGTGCAATGGCGCGATCTTGGCTCACCACAACCTCCGCCTCCTGGGTTCAGGCAATTCTCCTGCCTCAGCCTCCTGAGTAGCTGGGATTACAGGCACGCGCCACCATGCCCAGCTAAGTTTTTGTAGTTTTTAGTAGAGACGGGGTTTCACCATGTTGACCAGGATGGTCTCGATCTCTTGACCTCGTGATCCACCCGCCTCGGCCTCCCAAAGTGCTGGGATTACAGGCTTAAGCCACCGCGCCCGGCACCACAAGTGATTTTTATCCATTCACTTGTTGATGGACCTTTGGGTTGTTTCCAGTTTCTGACTGTTAGAAATAAAGCTATTATGAACTGTTTATGTACATGTCTTTGTGTGGATTTATGCTTTCATTTCTCTTGGGTAAATACCTGGGTGTGTATTTTGATGTCCAAATTGCCATAGATTTGGCTGGGGGAGCACCTGCAAGCTGGCTCCGTCTCCTTTTGACACAACCCCATCATTCTTTGAGCATTTTCTTACTTTCTGCTACAAGACGATGTTCAGGCTCATCTCGTATTTCTCCTGCTCCAGCCCTGAACTTAGCCATTTCTCCAGGAAGCAACACTGGTCTTTTGTGCAGAGGATGGTATTTAAAAACCGTGATCTGAATGCTGGATGTGATTATTGCTACTGGGAAGTGATTGCTTCTGGGCCTGCTCCATGGACACAGAAAGAAGCAAAAACGTATTAACCTGTACTTTTTATTTGCTCTTTTTTTTTTTTTTTTGGGACGGAGTTTCGCTCTTGTTACCCAGGCTGGAGTGCAACGGCGCGATCTCGGCTCACCGCAACCTCTGCCTCCTGGGTTCAGGCAATTCTCCTGCCTCAGCCTCCTGAGTAGCTGGGATTACAGGCACGCGCCACCATGCCCAGCTAATTTTTTGTATTTTTAGTAGAGACAGGGTTTCACCGTGTTGACCAGGATGGTCTCGATCTCTTGACCTTGTGATCCACCTGCCTCGGCCTCCCAAAGTGCTGGGATTACAGGCTTGAGCCACCTCGCCTGGCCCTTATTTGCTCTTTTCTTTTCCTTTTTTTTTTTTTTTTC